TTTTACAGGAGCAATAGAAAATTAATAAATCTGGGTTTGTATCTGAAATAACAGTTCTTAAACAACCCGTTTTCTCATTTCTGAATAGCAGAAGGTTCTGGGCTCAGAGAAAGTAAAGTTTTGCTGCGGGGAGGGGGTGGGGGTGGCATGTTAGTTGCCAAATCCTCTTTCCTTTCCTAGTGTAGCAAACATAGACAAGAAAATAATGATTAATGGCAGAAATGAGGAAACCTGCCTTCTAGCCAAAGTAAGAAAAAAATGCCACCCTTCTGTTGCTATGTTTTTCCTGGAGGCCTTCACTCACACCCATGCAACTGTGTCTTGTCAGAGTAAATTAGAAGGTGGTCCTCCTATTGCAGGAAACCTGCCTCATTCTTCATGTATGTTAGCTTCCATGTGACCAAGCTTTTTGCTTTTCTTTACTAAGTTTTAGAGAAAACTCCTACAAATATGCAAATTATTTTATGTCAAAACTTACCCAGAATATTTACCCATTCTCTAAATTTGTTTTACAGCCATGCACATTTCTAATAATAAAGCATTGCTTAAACTCTCAAAAAAGTCAGCATCATGAAGACTGGTGGGATCAAAATACCTAAAAATTATACTTCTATTATCTTCCATATATAAGCTCCTTGAGGGCAGGGATGTACCTCGATTTATTGTCTTTCCCCTAGCACCCAGTAATGCCTAATACCTAGTAGGTATGCAATAAATATTTGTTGAGTAAGTTTTAAAGAGATTTTTCTTACAATGCAATAATAAGTAATTTCTTGATCACTGCACCATACTATTTATGTTTCATTGCTTTCTCGGTACCATAGCCTGTGTTATGGACAATAAGGCTTACATAGCCAAGAAGACTTACATTATAAGTGCTTAGGTCTTTTATTTTTAAAAATAGATTAAAATATCTATGTAGTAGACAAAATAATGCCCCTCCCTTAAAGATGTCTTTGTCCTAATGCCTAGAACCTGTGAATACATTACCTTAGATGGCAAAGGGCCATTCAGGTTGTAGTGAAGGCTAAACTTAAGGTTAGTCCATCACTTGTCAAAAGGTCACTAAGAACTGCAAAAATGAATAATATGCTTCCGGCCTCCAGCTCAGTACTCTCCAGTCCTACTATGTACAATTCAATATTCCCTGAAAGAGGTAATGGCAAATTTTTAAAAATTAGAAATCAAGATGGGTTAACCATATTGAATATATGAAGTAATAATTTTTCTTTATAATAAAATTACAATCAAAGACTCATGCTCCGCAATTTCCCGACAAAAAGAAAAAAACAATGTTTTTCTGTTATAATCATTTTATGATTACTTCTCTTTTTCAAATAGACACTTCAATTTATTCCTAAAAGGGTAAAAGTCTTAGTCAGTTGGTTACAGTTTTGATCTGCTCACAAGGGGACAATATACCTCAAAACTATAGGAGTGGAACTGATATGGTACTTACATTAAAGGCATCAGTACTCTGTTTTGGAGTTGTGTCTTTTTTGTGGACCCTGTGAACTTGCTCCTATAAGCTGAAGGGCACACAGTTAATTACTTATTAAAAATGTTTAAGGAGGTTTCTATGGTTTACTCTGAAACACGGGTCAATCTCAAGGTTCTAAAATGTATGTCTAGGGACATTATTTTCAAATCATTCAGCAACCTTATTTTGAACAGTTATTTATGCTTGGTGTGGAGCTGTCCAGAGTTGATGGGAGAGTTGTCCTGGGAGAGCTGAGCAAAGGGAAGGGAGGAGGGGTATCACGGCAGGCTGTAATGCCTGGTCAGGCTCCAGTCAGCTAGTTAAAAAGAATATCCAGACAGAGGAAACCTTAAATTGCTATTTGTAAATTCCTTGTTGTGCAGCTGTCTCCAGTTTGGTTCTAGCAATGTTGTCTGTACATTCCCAGAAGCACAACTTATGCATAAAGAGTTCGTTATTAATAATGAAGTCCAAAGTATAATATGACTATTTGGACAATAACAGTCCTCAAAAGTATAAGGTTAAAAGTCAGTGATTTTGAAAAGTGAGGCCCTCTGGACTGTGAATCTTCCATTTGCCATTCTATTAATATTGTGTTTTTCTCCCCTTTTTGCCAGCTTGGCTCAACTAATCACTAATCATTCTCCCCTGATGTTCCCTAGAAGCAGTTCATTAACTTGACATTTCTGGATAGAGTGCATGATTTGGATTCCATAAACTCTGAACCCTAAAGCCACCCATCATGAGGAGAAATGATGGGAAGGAGTTAGGCCAGAGCCTGTATCATTGGCATAGGGCTTAGTTGATTCTTTCTGCTGGGCCTCTAAGGCTGAATTTTCAGATTTTTGAAACACAGAGAAAAGAAGCAAGCCTTTGGAATTGGGCTCTGACCAACAGACTGAGTCTGAACACAGACAGCCAGAGCTGGGGTGGAGGAGGCTAAATAGTAGGAAGGAAGAACAGGAGGCCAGGACATCCGGCGTGCAGGCCAGTTCTGGCTCCAGATGCCAACATTCAGGCTCTCGGGTTGGGGCAAGTCCTGGTGAAAACAAGAGTGGGAGCGACTGTGGAGGCAGGGGGCCGTGGATGTCTGGTGATGTCACTGGTGGGGTGGCTTCTATCTGACCTTGGTACAAAGTTAACCATCAATGCCCAATCAACATATTTCTTCCTATGGTCCTTGAAAAGTGACTCTGACCTTAAAGTTAGGTTTGCATTTGAGAGTTAAAGCATGATTTGTCAATAACATATTTTAATTAAATGAACAAAATAACTGAATTCAAGTGAAAATGTGACACTATCAATACTTTAATCTCCTGGCACAGCAGGAAAATATCTGTCCCTCCTAATTTCTGAACATTTAGGAGTCCTGTTATACAACTTTAAAAGCTGATTTTGAGAAACAGTCTAGGATATTTACACAATACATTGAATTTTTCACATGAATATACTTATGGAAGTCTTTCTTTGAAGATTTAAAAGCAATCAAGTTTCTAAGCCAATCAGAACACTACTTTACACCTGGAATAAGATTAAATACAATAATCAAATGTGATGCCTGACAGTCTACTATTTTATAGATTTAGAATTTTCTCATCTGTCTTCTTTCAATGTGTTAATCTACATTCCTAATTCCTGAAAAAGCAACCAGCACAGTTTTAGACCTCATTGCTATCCAATTCAAATTGTTCATCAGATGATTCGATTAAAACTACAAAGAGCTACTTTCAACAAAAGCTTCTTATAGTGAGCACAAACATTAGTGAGCCAGGCATGCAGCACTTAACCTGCACTCACAGCTTTAAAGAGAAATACATTCGGAAGGGGAATTAATCACCAACGAAAGCCCACCCCTGGACTCCTTAGACAACCCATCAAGGAGATTTAATGTGCCAAGGCCTTTCCACAGTCCACCCTTAGTTATACATCCCAGCTCCTGAAGTCTCCAAGAGACATTTATTTAGTAATGATATAAGAAGGAAAAGAGCAACATCCAGCTAATATAAAACTCATCATAACAAGATGATACAAAAAACAGAAGCTCATTCATAAATCATAGTCATTATTATCTTATCTAATGGTTTAAATTAAAATCAAGCTTATTGTGGTGTGCAAAATGGTTGAACTTTTTGACACTTGGAGAATGATTTGAGAGTTCTTGGATATTTTCAAGCACTTTGTTATATGTAGTCCTCTCAAACTTTGGATGAACTTTTATGCCTAAAACTTTGAATTCTCAAATCCATGCAGACTGCGCTACACAAATGGTTACATGCTTGGCAAGTAACACATGATTTCTGTGGGATACAAACATGAGAGTGTTCCATTCTCCAGAGTGATTACATAAAGAAAGTTGCAGGATTACAAATTTTTGTTTCCTCCTCTAATGCTTCAAAAGTAACTTCTTATAGCTTGTGCCAAAGGAGATACTGTGGTGTTTAATTGAATCAGTAGGTGATGTGTTAGAGGCAGTTGCAGTGTTCAGTTTCGGGGCCATGTTTTTCAGCACTGTGGATAACTTGTCAGGCTGCAGAGAAATGTTCACTGGCTTACTAGAATATGAAATTTAAGTCTCTGATCTAGATAATTTTAGATGCTCTGATTTCATTATAGAAATTCCTAGACTACTCATGGGATAAAACAAATCCTAAGCCCATATTGAATTTCAACAAGCTGAATTAGCAGAAAATAAAGATAAAATGCCTTTCTATTTAAGAACATGATGATGTTTTAATTGTTACAGCATTTGGCATGCCTAATATATACAATCCTTGACATTCATATAATAACAAAAGAAAGTTGTTTGGGATTTTTCTTTTATTTCCTAGTGTCCGGTTTCTTCTCTAGTATTTCTCCCCCATCTACCCCAGCCCTGGCCTTTTGCTCTCTTCCCACTTTTCATCCTTCACTATACAGGGATGGATGTAAAAATACCTCATTCTATGTAGACAGGCCAAGGCCGCCTGTTACCTAGCTATGATGAACAGACCACCATCGTTGCGACAACTGATGTAGATGCCTCCGGGTGAAACAAAGGTTTACATATTACACAAGCAATTTAACTGTTTTCTAAACATATTGCCAAGACAGTGGGAGTTGGCAGCTCACACTGTGTTTTAGGTTTTGAGGACTTGGATTAGAAGTGGCTGTTGATTGTAACCTTTTTATTTGTCTTCCATGAACTACAAGCAACCTAGTAACCCAGGAAAGAATGCTTCACAGCACTTAAACTTGTCTTCCTAGCTTTCCAAGATTACATACACAAATCACTTGACAAAAGTGGCGTGAGACTTTTGTGCGTAGATAACCACACAAGACAATTGTCTTGTTCTAACCCTTAAAGAGTTCCACAAAGTAAAATGTTTTATAATCCTTTTTTGTAGTAGGCAAGGAAGAAAAGAAGACAGGTTGGGCAAAGATTATCTAGAAGAAAGAAAGAGACTCTTTCGGGGTTCCAGTTGAAACACAATAAGGAACATAATTAACTTCACAATTCTTTGTGTTTTTCATTTGACTGCAGGGAGGAGATGAAAGAGGACTGCTAAGCCTTGCATTCCATCCCAATTACAAGAAAAATGGAAAGCTGTATGTGTCTTATACCACCAACCAAGAACGGTGGGCCATTGGGCCTCATGACCACATTCTTAGGGTCGTGGAATACACAGTATCCAGGTATCAATCAAATGCATCGAACCGTACAAATTTTGTAATCTTATTTTTCCTTCATCTCATCAAAAGCTTTTGATTTAAAAATTACAAATAAGTAGCCATACAGTGGCAGTAATTAAAATCTCTACTGAGCTTAAAACCCTGTAAGCATATCTTTAAAAGAAATTGAGGGAAAGAAGGGAATGGAATTAATATGAGAGGAAGAAAAAATGAGAAGAAAGTCTTTGTAAATAGGGAGGGGTGGAGGGGTTGAAGGGAGGGCAGGGAAATGGGGAAAAAATAAGAACCAAAATGTATTATGTAAAGGTGCAAATTTCCAATGATGAATGTCATTATACTGTATACCTTAAATGTACCAATATAATTAATAAAAAAATTATTTTAAAAAAAGAAAGAAATTGAGGAAAATGATAGCTTTAGCACTTTCCTTCAATTATTTTTCAATTTAAACACTACTTCTAAAATTTAGAAATTAATGCAGTTTTTCAGTAACTTCTTTTAACTCTTTTCAAGTTTGTTTCCTTTATGTGCCAAATGCTTGCTTTTTTATTTGTGTACTATTTACTACTAGTCGTGCATTCACCGTACATCTTTAGCAATCATGGTATTTTTTCCTCCTCACGATGCAGGAAAAATCCCCATCAAGTTGATTTGAGAACAGCCAGAGTGTTTCTTGAAGTTGCAGAGCTCCACAGAAAGCATCTAGGGGGTCAACTGTTCTTTGGTCCTGACGGCTTTTTGTACATCATTCTTGGGGATGGAATGATCACACTGGATGATATGGAAGAAATGGATGGGTTAAGGTAAAAACCTGACAACAGTGCCTCTGGATGCTAAGATGTTTGCACTGGCAGGAGAAAGGGAATGAACCAGTGAGTTAAGAACAATCTCTGAAGTACATCCCTCTGCATACATATTTAACTTTCGTTGTCAGTGTTTGCATTTGTAAAATACAGAGGGATTCAATATTTTCCCTGTGTATGTTTCCTTTGTCATAAAATGAGTTACTGCTGTGCAATTCTGAGGGGGCTGCCCCTACTATACTTGGCATTCAGAAGCAGACAGCCCTACCCGTGTGTGGCTTCCCCACACGCTGCTGAAGGAACTGACATCTTGGGAGGTATAAATTACATAGATTGGCAAAAATTAAGATTAAAGGGGACAGATGCAAAAGAGCAATGTTCTACTGATACTGCAGCCCTTGGTCACCTTCAAGCTGTGTCTTTGGGCAGTGCCTCATAGGGAAGCAGAATACCCTCCTTTCATTTCTGACCATATAGGATCTGGAATGTGGATAATTTTCTCAGAAAAGGGGACGATTCTTTTATCCATGCAGCAACCTTATCACATTTAGTCTAGGTGAACTATATCACCTGAACAGGAAACACTTATGCCATCCTCCATTTTCTCAGCGATTTCACAGGCTCAGTGCTACGGCTGGATGTGGACACAGACATGTGCATTGTGCCTTACTCCATCCCACAAAGCAATCCACACTTCAACAGCACCAACCAGCCTCCAGAAGTGTTTGCCTATGGGATCCATGACCCAGGCAGGTGAGAATGCAAAGCTATCCTCTTATCTACTTAAAGGAAGCCTGGCTTTGGGAAGTAGAAAAAGGAAGATGATGGCAAGTCACAGAGCAGCCAAGGATGGTATCCAAGGTTGAGTCTCTAAAATCATACCAGGTCATTATATGGCCAAGTAGTTAGGCCTCTTTTTTTCTAGTAATGTTTGAATCTGACTGAGAAAGCAGATTAGACAAAGAAAAGAAAAAATTCATAGAGAAAAATTGACTTCAAAATTTGAAGGGTTCTATTAAACTTTGCAGGACTAGTATAATGACTAAGACTTCAATAATTTGGGGAAGTAATAAAGCTTTGGATTCATTTAAACACCTAAATCTTATTTTCCATGTTGTCTCAGTCTGTCTTATGCTACTATAACAGAATACCACTGACTGGGTAATTTATACACAATAGAAATTTATTTGGTTCAGGTTCTGGAGGCTGTCCAAAGGCATAATGCCAGCAGCTCGTAAGGCCCCCTTGCTGTGTGCATTCCACAATGGAAAGAGAGGTAGCAAAATTAGCCTTTTATCAGAAACTCACTCCTAGGAAAACTGAACCACTCCTACAGTGATAGCATTAATCCATTCCTGAGGGCAGAGCTCTCGAGACCCACTTTGAGACTCTCAAAGGTCCCACCCATTAATGCTGCTGATTGCACTGAGGGTGATGTTTCCGACACATCAACTTTGCAAGATGTATTCAAATCTTGGCAGTGTAAGGATGTTGTGATGGGCAAATAAAAATCTACAGGTAAAGGACAAAATAGGTGCCTGATACCTGGTAGTTCTTTTTATCATAGCCTCACTTAAAATAGGTGAAGTAGTATCAATTTGCAGGGAGTTGAGCTAAATATTAACATTTTTTTATTTGAAAGAAAATTATATACACTAAAGGAATTCATATTAGCTGCTTGGTGCTGTATACTGTAATGAACCGTTAAAAAAAAAAAAAAGGAAAACTACAAAGTATATAAAATGAGAGATTTTAGGTACACTTAAAAAATACTTTGAAGTATAACATAGAAATTCTGTGATGAAAGCCCCATCCGATCTGTGGTCCCTTATTCATACTAAGAGGTATCTGGCCACATTCATTCATTTACTAGCTAAGTTATTATTGCTATTTATTTATTTATTTATTTGTATTAAATTCTTTTATTGGTACATTGTAGGTATACAACACAATTACATTTCTCATTGGGAATTGTACCTTTACATAATGCATCTTGGTTCTTATTCTTTCCCCATTCCTAGCCCTCCCTTCACCCCCTCCACCCTTCCCTATTTACAAAGACTTTATTTCCATTTCTCATCATTTTTCCTTTCCCTTCTTTCCTTTCCCGTGTGCCTCCCACTACCCCTACCCCTTTGGACCTTTTATTCCTATTTTACATTATCGACTATTCATTCTAATAATTGGTACATTTTAGGTATACAATATAATGACATTCATCATTGGAAATTTGCACCTTTACATAGTCTCTCTTGGTTCTTATTTTTCAACCTTGCCCAGCCCTCCCTTCAACCCCTCCAGCCCTCCCTATTTACAAAGGTTTTGTTCCTATTTTTCCATTTTCTCGTATTAATCCCATTCCCTTCTATCCTTTCCCCTAGCCCTCCCACTTCCTTCCCCTTTGCCCCTTTTCTTCCTATTTCACATGACCTATTATACATTTAGTTCTTATTTACACTTTCAGTTACTCACACCAGAGAAACTATTTACACATGTGTGTCCTATTTATTTCACTTAAGAGTATTGCTTCAATATTATTGCTATTTAATGTTTATTGAGTGTTCACTATGTGCAAGGTGAGTATTTCTCAAACTTTTATTTTGATAATCCCTCTTGCCCTTCATCTCCCCTCCATCAAAGCCCAAGCCTACAGTTCATTTTCTTTTTGGCATCACAGCAGATATTAAAATCTGTTCGACAGGGAACACTTGAGGTGGGCTCAGGATGTGGTGGAAGCTGTCACATTCCATCCCTATAGCTCAGAACTCACAGACACCTCAAAGCAGGACTCTGAAGTAGAGCAGCCTGAGTTACCACAGTCCCGCGCGAGCTTTCTCACAAGCTTCCTGGGGGTTCCGAGCCATGGTGCAAAAATACGGGGGCGGGGGTGCATGCTTTATAGACCATCCGTGAGGCAAGATGCCTGTGCCATGGAGTCCTACGTCCTCTGACAGCAGAAGGCTGAAGGGAAAGTCAGTGTTGATATTCTTTCTCCCTCCAAGAGGATTCTAAGCAAAAAAATATTTAATGAAGCAGAAAAGAAACTAAAATAACTGTTAACTAAAATGAAGCTGTTTGTAAACTCCTTGCTGCAGGGTGCTCAACAGCTATCCCTCGACAGTCTCCCCTTTAAGCTTTTCAGCAGTACTCTGAGGTAGATGACATCTGTCGCCTACCCACACCCTACACCCCCTTTTTAAATATACTATTTTTAGAGCTGGTGGAGATTTGCAGCAAAATTGAACAGAAGGTATAGATACTTCCAGGGTACCCCCTACCCCTGCACAAGTATAGCCCCTCCCAGTATCATCATCTCCCTTAGAATGGTACACTTATTACAGCTGATGAACAGATCCTAGACTCCACAGCTTACGTTATTGTTTACATTCATGCTATAGGTTTGGACGAATGGACAATAATGTGTATACACTGTCATAATATCATCCTGGTTAGTTTCACTGGCCTTTTTTTTTTTTAACATAACAACTGAAGGTTAGAAGGATCAAATAGTCAGTGGCCCTGGTGTTCAGCTAGAGCTATGCTCATAGCCCCTAGCAATTCCACCTCTGGGAGAGCTGGCCTTTTCATCTGGATTTGCTGTTTCTGGTTGGAAACAAGTCAGGCCTCTTTTTGTCATAGTTTCTCCATCTTCAAAAGAAAAGTGATGCAGGAAAATTTTCTTACCCTTTGTGAATTTAGTTCCACCTTAAGTCCCAACATGTCTTTGTCATGATCCCTGCCAGGCATTGTATTATGTGAGTCATTGAGTTAAAGAGGACAGTAAAGGAACTGTTGCCACCCAGCAAATCACCCATCTTTAGCAGGCCAGAGGCAGTTTCCATATGAATGGGATCATTTGGAGACAACAGTTGTTGTGTTGTTTTGCTTTTTAATAATTGCTACATGGCTCTTATGTCACTTAAGACCTGGCACCCACTCTCAAAACTTTTGTTGATTTTTAAATTTATTTAATGGTCCCAATGGTTTGGTTTCATTTGGATTAATGGATTTTGTTGGCTTAAAACAGTGATTCTCAGAGGAATGATTTTGCCTCCAGGGAACGTTTGGCAATGTCTGGAAACATTTTTTATTTTTTACAACTGGAGATGGGGGTGGAGCGAGCTACAATCATCTCGTTGTAGAGGCCAGGGATGCTTCCAAACATCCTATAATCTGTAGAACAGCCTCTCCAAATAAAGGTGAGCTGGCCCAAAATGTCAACAGTGTCAAGATCTAACCTAAAAACAATGGAGGCCTGTTTTGCACATTTTTGAGAACTTCAAAAATTATATTATTTGACTTTATTCTTCCCCCAGTCCTAGTCTCTCACTAACTTAAACATTCAAGTGATCCCTGCCCTAGTAGAGCTTATAGTCAGGGGCTTACATCACAGATATTCTGGCTCCCATATGAGGGGTGAAGAACATGAAGACAGCTGATGCGAAAGACAGCACTTCCTGAGACCGGGTACATTTTAATTTTATTCCCTGAATGGGAACATACGTGTTTCCCTTTGTTACAGCATCCTGAGCTTTAGAATGTAGTGGTCCATATAAGAAAATAGGACTAATACTATTACATTATAGATGTGAGTTGACGGTGACATTGATTCTTAACCATTATATGTTACCAATTTTTGTGGTTTTTGCTTTGTCTTTGAAACAAGGTCTTGCTATGTAGCCAGACTGATCTTGAACTCATTCATGACCCTTTCACCTTAGCTTCCACAGTGTTGGGATTATAGGTGTGGACCTCCATGCCCAGCTTCAACTATTATACAGGAAATGTTCCTTAACAGCAGGCTAACAAATGTTTTGAGACAGTGTGAACATTCATAGTAGAGGGAGATGCCAAAAGAAACTTAGAATATAGTCTGGAAGAAATTAAGCTTCAACAGAATGAACAAAAATGTAATGATTCTTTTAGTAGTTTCTAGAAAATCCAAACTGAATTGTTCACAGGATCTTCTGCCAGCCCACAGAGGTCTTTGTCCTATGTCAGGAATCCCCAGTCCAAGTCTGAAAGATACCCCAGTAGGAGTTAATGGGGATCCACCTCTTTTGTTATGCAGATGTGCTGTGGATCGACATCCCACTGATATAAGCATCAATTTAACAATACTTTGTTCAGATTCCAATGGAAAAAACAGATCAGCCAGAATTCTACAGATAATAAAAGGAAAAGATTATGGTAAGTCAAACATAATTTGTTGATTTCGAGTTAGTTTGAGTTTGGTTTTAGCATATTAATTGAAGGGAAAAGGATTTTTCCAAAATAAGCACTTGAGAAAACATAAAAACACTGGCCTACCGGTGGCCAGAGAGTAAACTGCTCACTTTTTGAAGTTAGAAACTCTTATAGGCCCTCAGAACTCTATTTGGCTAATGACATTTCCCATGGATGGCATGGTTCTCAGTAGGTGCACACAATTTAATTACTTCAAAAGTTAGCAGCTTGTATGATTCTCATCTAAGAATCAAGATGAATAACTTCTATATACTTAATGTAATAAGGAAGAACTTGTGCTAACATCTTATAAACAGAAATAAAATAAGTGTTAAAGGTGAGAAATTTCTCAATAACCTACATGCTAATCTCAGCTATTAGGAAAACTGTAAGTGTTTTATATAAGAATGTGATTTTTTTTTTTTTAAAAAAAGTGTTCATTTTAGACAAAGTAATTGATTTGTGAAAATAAGGTATGAGAATGGGATGTTTAAAAATTAATTTTAATAACATGATTACTATTTAAAGAGAACACATAAAATATAAAACTGGATAATGAAGTGCAAGAACATTTAGTATTTTTAATATTTTAGTATATAGTCCTTTTGAAGGAAGCAATATATTAAACATTATTAGGATTCAGGGAACATAGTAGATTAAGATTATTAAATTGATTGCTTCTTCTATTTACTCATTCAATACAGATATTTATTTAGCACCAGGAATGAAGCAGCTGTGTTAGTTCATGTGGTATTTGGTTATTTTTTAATTTTTTTCCAGAGTTGTGTGTGTGTGTGTGTGTGTGTGTGTGTCTTATAAAAGCCAAACCAAAGTATAATGTGGTTTACAAAAAAATCAAATGAGCCCCTAGTTCTCTGGACTTTTGGCTGCATCTGTAGATTAAACTAAATTCTATAATCACATTAACTGAGGTTCAGCCAGAACGAGTTGCAGTATTAACAGCCCTGCATTTATGAATTTTCATACATATAATACACATCCACAGTGCTCACATGCCAAATCCTACAGAAAAAAAATGTTACTCAGTTCATTCATAGAGCAAGTCTATCACTGACCACATTGTATAGATGAAGAAACTGAGGCACAAAAAGGTGAATTATAACACAACATAAAGTGGGAAAAGATGGATTTAAGTAGCCTGACTCAATAGTTCATGACATTAATCATTCAGTTATGCTGCCTTGTGGGGTGCTGAGTATTTAAAACTTCTCTAATCTTTTCTAATTTGTATTACATCATATTTACCATAATCACATGGGAGAAGCAGAGGGCTTTAAATTACCATCTTTCCACAAAGGTTTTTGATAAAACACTTCCTGTTGATGGTGAGTTACTTGACATTAAATACTAAGAAGTAATTTTCACATTAATTTGTAACTGACATTAGAGCTTTCCCATTGCAATTAGTGTATGTATACTCACGTATGTAGTAGCCTGCATGGAAACATTGAGAAATGGAACTCTACACTTGTAATTCAAAAGGAATTATTGGAGTAGACTTTGTTAACCACACAACTCCATAAACATAACTGTTAAACAATATTTTAAGTGAAGATATTACTTAAGTGATCATTTTTAAATATACAATAAATATAATTTTTTTTCACATGAAATGGGTAATGTGCCAAAGTTATAAGAAGGCTGGAGGGTGGCACATCTCATGCATGTGGCATGAACACCCAGTCATCATGCTCATGAACTGAAGGATCACAATAAATGTAATTGTAAAGATCTTTTATGCACTATGCTTTCACTTTTCATTAAAGTGTGAACTTTAAAAAATTTTGTATAATTTGACAGATGCCTGGTTCAGTTAACTAAATAAGTAAAAGCATTTCTACAAAAATATTGAAAATTGTTTTTAAAAGTAATTTGATTCTGAAGCTACCATGATCTCTAAAATATCTAGATTCTAATTTTATTGAAAATTCAGTGTATCATGACAATTATAACAAGAGCAAGCATTTGCAGACCATTTTCATTTCATTAAGCTGTATACAGAGGTCTTATAAATTTTGATAGTATTTAAACAAAGACTAATTATTTGCACTAAATATCTTGGCCTATGTTGTTCTTACTTTCATTTGATCTAATGCTCTGCTTCTTTCCAGAAAGTGAGCCATCGCTTTTAGAATTCAAACCATTCAGTAATGGTCCTTTGGTTGGTGGATTCGTTTACCGAGGCTGCCAATCTGAAAGACTGTATGGAAGCTACGTGTTTGGAGATCGCAGTGGGTATGTTTCCTGATGTCTCGTTTTGATACATCAAATGATGTATCCATGGATAAGTTGACAAACTTCCACAGAACATTCAAAAGTGACTGTCTCCCATTGGGCATCATACCTGGAACACACATATGATTTCCTTTTGTTACGCTATATATAAAGGCTAATTGAAGAATTCTCAAAGGGATGGTTTTAAAAAGACTTGATCAAGTTTATAAAATAATTTTTTAAAACAGAAAAGTCTTTAGATGGACATTTCGTATAATGTAGTCTCTTCCCTTCATCCACAACAAAAATTTACCATGACAAGGAATAATTTGAAACCTGTTATTTTGCATGAGTTGTAAAAACGCCTTAAAAACTATCTTGGGAGAATAAAAATTTTTTATTTTACCAGATTTTCAGGACTTGGAGCAATAGAATTAAATTTCTATCTATAGATAGGAATTCTACAAAATTAAATTTTAGCCTAAATTTTTGTATCATTCTCCAGTTGAAGGGAAGAGCTTTTCTTATACTCAAGTACTTTAATGCTCCCTCCAAACAAAATATCTTTAAGTGCTTTCTCTGCATATGAGAATTTCACAGCACTCATAAACATGATTAGCTATATTATTTTTCCTTTGAGAAGTCAGGTCCATGGTACAATTATTTTGATCTTAAACATTTTATTGTGATCTTTAAGCAAAAGTATATTTTTATTGTAGGTTTACAGTATGTTTTTGTTGTAGGAATTTCTTAACTCTTCAGCAAAGTCCTGTGACCAAGCAATGGCAAGAAAAACCACTCTGTCTTGGCACTAGTGGTTCCTGTAGAGGCTACTTTTCTGGTCACATCTTGGGATTTGGAGAAGATGAATTAGGTACTGTAAAAATTACTTCTGTTAAGTTCCATTCTCACTTCCTTGCTCAAGAAAGTATATTCTGACCTAAAGAATAACAGCCTCATCTTCTACTTGTTGGAAATGGAATCCAACAAAGAAAACCTACCAGAGAGATTAAAGTTGGTTCAGTTACATATTCTTTTCCAGGAACATTCCCCTGAGAGTCTTCATATCTTATTTTCATTGTAGAAATAATAAAAGTAATAAAGCAGAAAAATAGACAGGAGCAAGAAAAATCTTTGAGACTCCCAGAAAAAAACATTGTAAATGTCTGCTGATATTTCTGATATGTATGAAAGCAATGTTTAATCTAGAAACCTTCTTTATCTAGAAACCTTCCCATGTATCCATGTATCTTGGAATAGAAAAACAGCTATCAAAATCTAAAATTTATTTTCTCTCTCTCTCTCTCTCTCTCTCTCTCTCTCTCTCTCTCACCCATTGGAGCATGACGTTTGTGCAAGATAATCTGAGTTATAGATCTTCTTTCCAATAGAACAGAAATTTTCTTATTGACAATCTGTAGGTAAAATATGTTTTGGCATGTTTATCAAAATGTACACAGCTTTAAATAAAAAAAGAAGTTGAAATTGAAATATGATCAACCAGACAGTGAAATTTTTATTCTCTACTATTTTATATTATAGGGATTAATGTATATTTTATATCTCTCTGTAAGGAACAATATTCAAACTATGGCTATGATGTTCCCTTGGCCTCAGAAATGGATAAAGATGGCATAGAAATAGAAGAATACATGCTTCCTATCTAAACTAGTGTATTTTCTGTAAAAGTCCACATGGATTTTCTTTTTACATTAAATAAAAAATTCATCAGAAATAATTTCATGCCATTTGCTTAGATTAATAAAAGCCTCAGACAAGACTCCTGAATTGCATAAGACATTTCAGAGCCATAGGAATACAGAGATGGAAAGAACTCCATCTGATTTTACATTTTACAATTAGTTTTTCCTTTATATTCTCTCCCACTCAAAAGAATCAGAAATATAATCTGTAATGTAATTTAAATTTCATTCACAAACTTTAAGAATTATTAAATTGTGGCAGGGTTAGAGGTGTATGTTTGGATATTGTGATTGAATCATTTTTGTTTTCCCAGACTTCACTACAAGAACTACTCATCTGCAATCATATTAGCATCACTACCATTGATAAAAATATCCCAAATGTCTCTGTACCTGTAATACTATATTGTTTTGTGAATAGAGCCAAAAAATAAAGCATGTACAATCTCAACTCCCCAAATGCTCCCATCTTATGTATAACCTGTAGTAAAAATAAAAACACTTTAAATGAATTACATTTTAATGTGAAACTCTCTAGAGCCATGTAAAAAAATGAGTACATTTTTGCACCTTTTGAGTGAAAAAATCAGTCTGATGTGTTACTTTTTTAACCATAAAATCAAGATGCCTTTGTTGTGAGGATTAAATGAAGTACACTTATAAACTATTCGGAAAACAAAGATTCTTTTGCTTTTTAACTTCATTTTTATTTTTTCTATTGAGTCTGTATTTTTAGTGTGAACCTTTTCAGAAGTACAAAAGTATTTAAGTATGCTTGATGCACAATTAAAAATAGAATAGAGAAATACAGATTAAGTCAAAGACCATTTCATAAGTGAGAACCAGTTATAAATTGTAAAACCTTATAAACATATAATCATCGTTTTTAATTTCCTATTTATGTAATTCCTTCTGTACTTTGACTTATATGGGAGAAGTGGTAATAAACAAGGGTGTTCTTTCCTAAAATCTAAATATTAAAATGAGCATGCCTCATCTCACCTCAAATTATTAATTAGCAGTAACAACTTGGGATAACCAAGAAATAAATCAAGATAAAATGTATGCATTCAACACTGCATTTGCAGAATGCAAATGCTTACCAAGTACCTTATTCTGTAATAAGCTCTGTTCTAGGTGTTGGGGATACAGGGGCAGATCAAGAGACAAAAAAATATAAACTGCTATTATGAAATTTATGTTGTAAAGGAGGACACTAATAAATGTTTTGTAAAAATATAGATTGCCTGTCAATTGATACACAATGCTTTGAAGAAAATCTAATAGTGAAAAGGGATTTGGAGGAGTTGGAGAAGGTGCAGTTTTATTTTTTATTTTTTGTAGTGCTGGGATTGAATCCAGGACCTCATACAGGCTAGGCAACAGTTCTACCACTGAGCTATATCCCAAGTATAGCAGGTGAAATTTTAAATAGTACAGTTAGAAAAGGTAAGATTTAAGCTTAGTCTTGAAGGAAGGGAGGAAATGAACCTTGTAGAGACCTACAAGAATATAGGAGCCTGAGACAGACTGAATCCAGGGATAGAATCGGCCTCACATATTCAAAGACAAGGAGCCAGTGAGGCCAGAATAGGGTGAACAAGGGAGCACACTTGTAGATGAGGTCAGAGGAGCAGCAAGTGACTCAACAGGCCACTGCTGGGACTTCATTTTGCTCTGAGAGAGATGAGAAGTCATTGGAGGGCGTTGGAACAAAGGAAGTTGACCTAACTTACATGATCTAACTCCTTCAAAAAGGGTGGCTGGAGGGTGAACGTTGAGAATAAACACAGAACAGGGTAGAAATAGGGTGCTAAATTAGAAGTCTGCTGCCATAATCCAAGTGAGAGATATTATTTCCTCCAGTGGGAGTCATAGTGGGATGTGGAAAGAAGTGCATTTTGGATGTATGGTGAAGACAGATCTGTGAAACACTGCCACAACCTTTAGGCGCATGATCTTCCTGAGGGGGGATGGAGATAGAAATTGACAGAGAGGAAGATAATAATTGCTTGGCAACAGTGTCATGCTGTGAATTAGCTTACCGTTATTTCTCTCACCAGGTGAAGTTTACATTTTATCAAGCAGTAAAAGTATGACCCAGACTCACAATGGAAAACTCTACAAAATTGTGGATCCGAAAAGGTGAGATTTCTGTTTATCCCTTTGAAGCAGGTAATATTTTTCTTCACGTTGTTTTAGGTCATTCAAATTAGTAATAGAAGCGATGCAGTTGGCAATTGGCCGAGATGAACACTTCCACCCTCCCCATATGCTATGGGCTGTCCTGAGGGGACCTTCTCCTCCAGTGCATGAGGGTCACAAGTGGCCTCTCGGGACTTTAAAAGCTCATTCAAGTTGTTCCTGTCATCCCAGAGCACGTTGTATTTGTGGAATCAAAGTTCTCGGGTAAAACCCGGGAGAGGAACCCAACGTGTGAGGCAGTGGCTTCAACTCTGGTGTTGGAAGCAATAAACCCCTTATTTTTGGGAAAACGAGAAACATGCTGGCAGACGTTACAGCTGCTTAGTATGATTTTTGTTAGGTAATCAGGATGTTATTTTGGCAGCGCAACATCTGAGCCTCATTTCAAAACTATCCAAAAGCTCACAGCTCCTCATGAAGACTGCTATGACCAACCAAATGAAAATAGAAGAATGTTTTGTTATTTGCCTCAGCTAATAACAAAGATATAAATGTTTTAATCCTTTAAGGAATATAATTATCCTGCCTTAGCTCCTTCCTATCCTCAGCGTCAGCACCCACACAACTTTCCAGTCATCTTGAACCCTAAGTAAACAGCTGTTGATTTCATGGATGAGGTGGATACTCTTAGAAGCTGCTACAGTTACATGCTGTCTAATACACATTTGTCACCAGAAACAACTATTACAAAATTAAGTGTCCTCACAAATATGACCAGGCCATGTTGAACACTGGTAGTGGTGACTCTCTAGCCATACTGTGCTGCAATTTCAAATTCCTTCTACAGTCACTTATTTAAATTTTAAGTTTATTTCAAAAGAATAAATTAATGATCTGAAAAGTTAACCAAATGGTCCACTTTTAACTGTCTGGGCCGGGGATTTAGAGCAGTCGTGCCACTTCCTGCCTCGCAAGCGCAAGGTACTAAGTTCAATCCTGGGTACCAAAACAAAAAACAAAAAACTATTAAACTGTTGATTGCACTTGCTTTCCTGAAAAAGACAACTATGAAAGGAGAATTCTTGTCCATTTCAAATACAACAAAACACTTTCTTTCCTGAAGGATATATAGGTTGACATTGGTTACTACAGAACAAAAAGAAAAATCAACTTTCAATGGCCTGTTGGGCACATCACATGTCAGTCACATGTCGAATACTGATAGCTTCCCTTCTCTATTGTAGAGTGCACATATTCTCGGACACAAAGTACCCCTCCATACAGTGTCATAAAGCAGAGGGATTCCTTTTCCCTTCTTGAGTGTAAAATCAGTGTTCTTTTTGAGAAAAGCAATGAATGAAAAAGCTATCAGACACTTAGGTGATTGTTGAAGTTGGCAACTTTAAGAATAAAAGTCAAGCTAATGTTAATTCATAAAATAGCAGCCTTGTAATGATTCATAATGAGGGACAGGGATTTCACTTACATTTAATGAGATTAGTTTCAAAATAGTCAGTGTTGTTCCATTACATCGTCAAAGTTGATATGCTTTTCTAAGCTTCTTGGTAGTATCATAATGAATTCTCTCTCCCCCTCACAAAAAAATCTTTATCTCAGCATCTGGATTGTTTCGGCTCTTGGTGCGTGGAGGCGAATTTTACACCTTCAATCCATTAATAGTGTCTAATTACCAAGATTTCCATAAGGGACCTTGGCTTTGTGATTGTAGGGCCCCCTCAAGTAGGGTGGTCTCAGAGTGACATAGCTGAAGGCCTGGCTTCTCATTACAGAGCCTGTTTCTGGTGAGTCATGTCATGTGTGCGGCCAGGGTTCAGATTTGTGTTTGCTTTTCAAGAGGTGGGGGAGGTGACAGAATCCCAATGACACCAACCTTGTACACAGGCATAGGCATAACTTCCAAAATTAAACTGTTTTCATAAACACTTGTTGGGAGCCTCATGCTGTTGCGATTTGGACACCAAAGTTTATTATTATAGTATTTTTTCCTAGATGAGTTGAAGTTCTGTATAAGCAGACACTTAAGTATGTGAGCAAGATTATTTTGGAAACATGAGCTAATTACTAGCATAGCAGTGTTCAGGATATCTGCATCAGAGCAAACTGTTTTTCTAAAACTTCTAAGGCAAAATTTAAAGAAAGAACCTCATCAACTCTTTCTCTCTCTCTATATATATATATATATTTTTTAATGTCAAAAATCTAACTCAAGTTAAATTCTTAAGTTAATTTTATTCTTGTGGAGAAACTCCTAGATGTATTAGAATATTTTTAGAATAACTTTCAAACATCAATTGATTTATAGTCCTGAAAGAGAAAATACCAAATTATAAAATTATTGATTTCTATATAGCAATTATATTCTTAGTATAAGATCTCTTTTTAAGGCTTTCCCCACACACATACATACAGAAGGAATTTAGAAATCACATGTAATATCTAAGTTTGGCAAAAGCAGATGAGTTTCCAATATTACCATCTCAATCTATAAAGACAATTTGGTCTAAAGCTATAAATCACATAATCATTTACAGAAGTTTTAAATCATTAACAGTTGGGCAATTTCCTTGGAAAAGGATGGTGAGGTAACTTGATAGAAAAATGAAATGTATAATGAAGAAAATAAAAATTCACAAATAAAAGAATACAACCAGGTTTCCGTCAAGTTTACCTAGAACTCAGAAGTTATTGAAGGAAAGAAAAACAAAAAAAAACTTCTGTAAAGAAAAACAAAAAAAACTTCTGTAAAGAAGCAGGAAAGGAATGAATTGCACCTCTAAGTTAGAGCATTGAAAGGAGATCAGAAATATCTTCATGGGTGAAACAATGGGATCTCATAGCAGAGTGGGGTTAGAATCAAGGCAATAACAGCCATGCAGCTGGTTCAGCGAAATCACAGGGTCCCCAGTACTGGATTCAGCTTGTCCTAGCCTGGGCGCCTCCATCTGCTAAGAGTCCCAGAAAACAGACTTAGATATATGGAGCACAAGATCGGGGCAGTAATTCCCATTTCTCTTAATAGTGCCATCTGAAACTAGTCAAATAAGAGCAAGGCTGTACAGGCAGGACAGGGGTCAACTGGTCTGGTTTCTGAAACACCTTCAGTATAGAACCCTACATGAATTATTTCCCAATACTGTGCCTCTTTACCTATCAAAAAAGCACAGATGATCAGTCTTTCCCTGCCTCATTTCTACATAGGGCACAGGAGGGTTATAAAAAACATCCTTAAAACCTGTTGAATTCTTTAGTATTGTTGGTGCTCATTCCATGCATCCTAGAATTATTTTCAGGTAATCTCAACTTCTGAGGTTCCCATAGTTTCAAAATTGGGACACAGATATCCCTGGAACTTTAAAAAGCTTTTAATAGCTGATTTTCAAATATTCAAGTTGTGCCTATGATGCTTTCGATACTGAATCTTTTCAGAATTAATCAAATGCTCCTGGGTGGTGGAAATTAAAGATTTCTGGCAGAGTTGTATAACGTCCAAGCTTTATAGATAGAATACAAATTTTTTAATAAAGACGGAAGATTCTTTAAGTTTGTTTTAGATGAACTTAGATCAAATGATTTTTTTATCTTTGTTTTGAAATATTCCCAGGGTTTATTTCTCCAGGAATTTGTAAAACAAAGTTATTAAGAATAACATTTATTAAGAACAATCATGGTGATTTACTTACTGTGTACCCACTCTAGCTATATTTCAGTGTATTGTTTATCTGTTACCAAGCCAACTCACAGAGACCATTCCCTTAAGATGTCTATACATTTAACAATGCAAATTCCAGGCTGGAGTGGTCACTTTACAGAAATGTTGTGTCCCCAGGTTCCTGTGACCACTATCCAAAACTGCATCTCATGCTTCTTTCCCATTCTTCCCTCTTCAGGATTCCCCCAAGGTGCCACTTATTGCCCTTTGTTTACTTTTTTGTAACATCTTCATCCTGCTCCTTATTATGCAGGATGCTAGAATGCTTTTTTTCCCCAAAAATCACTTCATGAGGAGAAATCAGTTCTGTTTATCCTTCACATGTGTCTCAGGCAGCTCTGTCAACCCATAGAGAGTCATACATAATAGAGCAGCTTTAGCCCAATAAGCCAGTCTAGTCCCAATTCATCAGTCAAAGTTTTATGCAAGTGGCCCCCCTGAGTTGATAAATTCCCACAGTGCCTGTTGACCCAGCTGCCAAGTCCTCTTGCAGCAGGTGGTGTTTTCATGGCCACCCTGACAGTAATGCAAACTGTTTAGCAGCTCCATTGACCTTTCAGCTATTAACAGGGATACAGGCTCCACAAGGGACTAGTTTTCAAACATGACAGAATTTCTTAACACTAGAGGTCATGAGCAAGTATATGCCCTATAAAAATCCATTCAGCATGGTGGATTAGAAGTCTAAAAGACAAGGAAGCATTTTCCATATTTTTGCTGTTATTACTATGCATATCCAATAACCAAAAATGAATATACACTTCTCTGCCAGTTTGTATTTTATTTTTAATATGCCATATTTCATGTATAATAAAAATCCCTTTTTTGACATCAAATCTTCCCTAAGCTGCCACATAACATCTGGAATTTTAAAGACATTTTACAAAAAGAACTGGGTAAGATCAAAGTCAAAATATGTAATGAATGGATGAATAGGAATATATAATATATGGCAATGGCCTTAGTGTGATTAGAATGTTATTCATACCTTACCAAGATTTGCATATGTATATGTACATATACAGGCACACTTACATATGCTGAGGTAATATATGTGCAATGTTACATACTCATTACCTATTTCAAAATAAATACAGGGCCAGGGATTTAGCTCAGTGGTTCCGCTGCCTGCCTTGCAAGCGCAAGGTCCCGAGTTCGATCCCCAGTACCAAAAAAAAAGATTTATCAAAATAAATAGAAAATATATAATAATTTATGCAAAAATAATACGATCATATTATTAAATGTCTTATATGTCCTATTTTTTAAA